GCAGAAGGGGGCTGCGCCATGAGTGATTGGCCCATAAAGTGTTTTAGTGGAATTGAAAAATTTTTGCATCTTGTGTTGATCTACAAATTTTTTCAAAGTTTGCACTGGGCCTATGCATTCTTTTTGTGGAAGGTATAGGCTTTGCTCCAAGACTGTGGGTTGTTCTGCCAATCACTTAGAGCAGCACAATTATCATCGACGAGTAAGTTGATTTCCGGGTCATTTTCATCAAACCAGTCCTGGTGTATTCTTTCGATCTGGCCGAGGGCCTCTGCAGGTTTTTGTCATGACAGTTTCGAGAATATCCCATTAGCACTTGGATTTGGGTTATTTGTTGTCGGGTTGTTTATCAGCCCATGCTCGAGCTGCTCTCTATAAGCATGAAAGCAAAGGCTGCCGCTGGATCCTCCAGAAACTTCGTGTTAAAAGCTCTTCTGGAGGCTTGTTGCCTTTGCCGTTTTGGGGCGACGTGAAGTGAGAGTGTGGCTCTGACGAGCTGATGATCAGTATCACAGTGGTCTGAGCCACGCATGGCTCGGGTAATGAGGACATCTTGGCGATCTGTTTCTCTGTCAATGATGTAGTCAATGAGATGCCAGTGTTTGGATCGTGGGTATTACCACCAACCCTTGAACTTGTCGGCCTGCCTAAACAAGGTAATGGGGATAGTGAGGTTGTGTGCAGCTCATTTACTTAGGAAGAGTAGGGCATTGGGATTATATTTGTCAAGTCCATTTCTCCCTGTGGTTCACTGCTAAATGTCAGTATCTCCGCAAACTCTGGCATTGAAGTCACCTAGGAGTACAACCTTATCTTCTCTGGGGAAAGAGGTTAGAACTCTGTCAAGTTCGGTGTTTAAGGACTCCATGATGTCATCCTTTGTATCCAGTGTTGGGGCGTATGCACTGATGAAGAAGGCATGGCGTGAGTGATTCAGTGGGAATCGGAGCATCATGAGACATTCGTTGATCCCAAAAGGCATTTCAGTTAGCCTATGTAGGATGCTTACTTTTCCATAAGAAAGAATAGCCAGATTCCCGTTCTGTTAGTCGATCCTTGTCTGGGAGCCGGACTCACTAATGGATGTTATGTCGATGTTATACCTAGCCAGCTCCTTTGCCACAAGGGCGGTTTTTCTTTCAGGACGTGTACTTTTGTGCCAGTATCCAGAAGGGTCCTAACATTCCATGCCGCAACCATAATAGGTAGTATAGTTTGTTTTTGTTTTGATCTGCATAAGGGTTCTGTTACCCAGTCAGCTTGGTTCTTTAGCCAAGCTCTGTTTGGGGCACCTTTACCAGCCCCAGCCCCCTCCCTCTGTTGGGTGAGCAGAATGGCTACTCATAAGGACTGCTCAGTCGCACAGACAGGACCGGATTGCACTACTGACTAGATCCCAGTGCATAAACGACCATCTTATTTATGCCGCCTATGTGTAGAGTTGTGACTAGAAACTCTCGGGAGTCATCTCTGCTTGGCCCCGTTGCCACTCGTCCATCGCCATAGGACTTTTTGGGGGTATAGGGGTTTTGATGATGATGAGAAGCATGATGAGCTGGATGATGGCTGCTTGTGTGTTGATTTATGTGGTGAGACAGGAGCACAAGCTACAACCACACACCTTGGCTCTCCCGTTTCCTGATCCAGTGGTGCAAGTGTTGCAATGACTGGGGAGAGGGAGAGTTGCAATGAACTGCCGATGGCCCAATTTGTTGGGTTTCGCCTGAGTAGCCTGTCCATCTTGAATTGCCTTCATCCACAGGTGTAGTCGTTGGGTCGTTGGTCACCTTTTCCGCTTATACCGCCGTTGGGGTCTTGTTGGAAGCATGCTTGCCTGTTGCAGGGCTCCACCGTAGATTTTTCATTTGGTGTTTACTTCCATAGCCTTGTATCTACCAAGGTTAATCCGCAAGCAGCGTGGCAGTGGTTAGTAGGCGCCAGGACGTGTCCACATGCCAGTGGGACTATGTGCTGTCCCTCTGGGGCCCACTGCTACTCCGATATCCCTTGCCGGTTTAGCCTGGGTTGGGCCCACGAAGCACCCAGTTACAGTGTGTTGCCACGAGGAGGCACAGCAAGAGTCTTGATGGTGAAGAGACTGTATTGGCTGGGGAGGACTTAAGTAAGTTGTTTCCCTGTTCGCCACGACGGCTAGCCAGCGGCTGTAGCTGAAAGCGAGAGGAAGCAAGCAGTGCTTGGACTTTAACACTAACATATGCTGCCACACTAGACACATTACACCACCATATGTGCGCGCACACACACACACAAACCAAGATTAACTACAAATTTATCAGGAATTGTGATTGGAATCTTGTTTCGGATGTAAAGCGTATATTAGGTGAAGAATGTGCGAACAGAATGTTTGCATGAGATATGCTGCTTAAAACGTGCAGGGGAAAGAATGAGGTGCTATATATGTTACCAAAAGGAGAGTGTGGAAATCTAAGGAACAAAACATAAGGAAAGCATATCATGTTGGGTTGAGAAGAGTGGACTCTGCTAGCAGTACTGAGAGGGGTAGTGGAGCGAGATGTTGGGCCAAAATAAAGGACTTTCTGCTGACATGATGTGGGGCAGGGCGAAGGGCCAAGCCAGGCATGCAGTGAAAAGCCGATGGAATTATAAAGTGAATAGACAAATAAGGGAAAAAATAAAATTGCTTGAAGCCTTGAGGATGTGTGGTGACAAGGAGGAGCACCCGATGGCCAATTACAGACACAGACGAAAGTTTACAAGCCAAAGGAGCATGAATTAATCCCGAGCTTCCAGTAGCCGTTCCATTCTCTTTTCTTGCCAATTGCTTGCTTCACTCATTCTCTTTTAACTCTTGGATATGGTCTCTGAACTGGCTTTGGTACTCATAAGTTGACTCCGATCCATATAAACTTCTCGTTCACAGTCGGTCGTAATTATTATTTTTTTCCAAACCTCTTTGATTTCCTTCTTATCAACCAATAAATTACCATGTGACAACAGACCACGTGGTGTCCCTATGATGCTACGACACCACGTAGTGAATGAGTTGCTACAACATCAAGTGAGGTTCCTCATAACACCATCTGTGAGGGAATTATTACACCACATCAGGCCCCTCATACACCATCTGTGAGGGAATTATTACACCACATCAGGCCCCTCATAACACCATGTGTGAGGGAATTATTACACCACATCAGGCCCCTCATAACACCATCTGTGAGGGAATTATTACACCACATCAGGCCCCTCATACACCATCTGTGAGGGAATTATTACACCACATCAGGCCCCTCATACACCATCTGTGAGGGAATTATTACACCACATCAGGCCCCTCATAACACCATCTGTGAGGGAACTACTACATCATCAGGCCCCTCGTAACACCATCTGTGAGGGAATTACTACACCACGGTAGGCCCCTCATAACACCACCTGAGAGGGAACTAGTACTCCACGTGATGCCCTCATAACGCCATCTGTGAGGGAGTTACTACACTACGTGTCTGCTGTTCAACACCTCAGCTCACATGATCTACGTGTGTAAACATTAATCTTTATGTTCACTGTATGTTCCTTCAACTCTCTCAAATGAAGGCTTTTGTTAAACCACCAATGTATGTAATAAGTCATTTTATATCCAATGTATATTTTCAGCCTTCTGGCTGCAGAACTTTTTCAATAAACCGTTTATTATTATTATTATTATTATTATTATTATTATTATTATTATTATTATTATTATTATTATTATTATTATTATTATTATTTTTATTATTATTTCTCACGCACTGCTCACCTAACATCCTCGTTCATACCCACTATTTGCCACTCTACTGCTTTACTTTATTTCTAACTGGTATGTAACATATTTGCTTATTTTTGTGTATTTATCTTTGGTGTTAAGTTCTAAGTTACTGCTAATTTTTGCGTCTTTGCTCCGTGTAGTTATTTGTGGTAGGTTTTAACAATTAATAATTCCATGTTTTATGTTCAGTGTTTTTTTTTTTGCTATGTGTTTAATATAACCAAAGCTGTATTCAATTTTATTTGTCATGTTGAATTTTATACTGTTGTAAGTCATGTCTTCGGTCTGACTATGACAAGAGATATTGTCTAAACGTTACCCAACAAATGTTGTTGTTTATCCTTATGTTGGTGGTGGCATTCATCCTTCGTTTACGCTTCCCCCGAGGAGAGTCAAATAATTCAGTTATACTAGTCATGTTTTTTGATCTGACAGGTGGGTACTTGTAAGCCCGGACCTACGGCCTAGAAAACAGTGCGTTAATGTTCGAAATAAGGCAAACACAGTATTGGGTTTTATATCTAGAAGTGTAAGTAATAAGAGTGCAGAGGTCTTATTGCAACTATATCTTGCGCTAGTCAGGCCGCACCTCGATTATGCGGCTCAGTTCTGGTGCCCTTATTATAGAATGGATATCACTTCACTAGAGTCAGTGCAGCGAAGAATGACGAAAATGATTCCGGGACTTAGAAACCTTCCATATCAGGATAGGTTAAAGAAACTTAACTTGCATTCCCTAGAAAGACGAAGAGTGCGGGGATTTAAGTTGGATAAGTTTAGGTTTAGGAGGGAGATAGGAAGGAACAAATAGGGTGGTGGACGAGTGAAACAAGTTTAGCAACTTTGTAGTAAGTGCTGGAAATCTGGAAAGTTTCAAAAGGAGGCTAGATTGATTCATGGATGATAGAGAGTGGTAGTAACTCTCGACAGGAGCTGCCATGCACAGGCCAACCGGCCTATTGCAGACTCCTTATTTTCTTATGTTTTTATGTTCTTATAACCTAAACGTCCATTATTCAACATTAAACCGCTAATAAATGCCTTACACTATGTCCTGTGTGAATTCCTTTGTCACCGATTTAAAGTTTGACACATTACTGCTTCATGGTGTGTATAGTTAGATCGTGAAACAGATGTAGTAAATGGACCAAAACATCAGACATACAGCTTGACAAGTAAGTAAAACCAATTAGAGTTTGGTGGTACTGACCCATCGACAGCTGTGGTGTTGGCCGGCACAGCATCAGGCAGAGCGGTGGTCGTCAACGTAGTATCAGCAAGACGAATGGTAGTGTTGACGAGGCCGGTGACGGTGGCGTTAAGGAAGAGGGCAAGGTTCTCCGGGCAGCCCTCAGTAGACAGTGGCAGGCGGGGAGGCGACCCCCCTCCTCGCACAAATTTACCAATAACTACCCAAACACTGAAGATGAACGACAGTACGAACCCCACCACAGCTCCCTGTGATGATGGGAAGCAGCATTATTTACCAACAGATACCGTCATTAGATATCGCTATATAAAACAGCTCTACTTTTATCACATGGTTCTTATGGTATGACTCAAAAGATCAACTCTCCAGTCTTGTTTTACCTTTGCATTGACCCACGGTGCACAGACGCCTGTAAAAAATAGACCACTAAGTGGGCCTCCCACGGCAGACTGGAAGATGTTGGCAACGTGGAAGATGCTACCCAGCTTCTCCACCATTAGCCCCATACATATGGCTGCCACACCAGCCATCACAGCTGCAAATTTAAAGTGAATATTACTCCAAACATTATTTCTGCATACTTGGATACAGTCACCTTTGATATTGATGTTGATATTGAAGCAGTTTGTTTATTTAGCCAGCAGAATACTTATACAGAATGGACAATAATAACAATATTGACATGGCTGAGCCTGTTGAGAACCTGAGTTCTCATAGTGGCACCTCATATATACTGTACAGTACAGTTCAGTATATTTATCTCGAGGAATTATTGTATAACATTTAGTATCATCTGGTATTATTTGATCTTTATTTTTTACATTTATCTTATAAGTAAATTCATATTTTGCAGTGGAGTTGATATACAGTAATCTGATAAGGGAGGGAAACAAGACAACATAAGATAAGCAAATAGACAAACTGAAGCCTAATAAGTCACCTGGTCCCGATGAGATATTTGCCAGAGTATTAAAGGAATGTAAGGATGAGCTTAGTATGCCCTTAGCAAAGTTGTTTAACATGTCATTAAAAACAGGTGTCGTACCAAAATCCTGGAGGATAGCGAATGCAATACCGATTTTCAAGAAGGGGGATAGATCACTATCCTCTAACTACCGCCCAATCAGTCTAACATCAATAGTAGGTAAATTACTAGAATCAATTATTTCAAACTCTATTCGAAACCACCTGGAGAAGCACAAGTTGATCAATGATTCCCAACATGGCTTCACAAGCGGGCGTTAATGTCAAACTAATCTATTAACATTCTTTTCATCAGTTTTCGAATCGGTGGACGAGGGGCACAATTATGATGTGGTATATCTCGACTTTAGCAAAGCCTTCGACAGAGTCCCCCACGAAAGACTAATTAGAAAGGTAGAAGCACATGGCATCAAAGGTAATATCCTTAAATGGGTTAGGGCGTTGTTACAGGACAGGAAACAGCGAGTGAGCATAAACGGCACTAAATCACATTGGAGCAACGTCACTAGTGGAGTTCCCCAAGGCTCAGTACTTGGACCATTATTATTTATTATATACATAAACGACATAGATATCGGCATAGACAGCAACATAAGTAAATTTGCTGATGACACTAAAATAGGACGTGTAATTAAATCTGGCGAGGACTCTGCAAAACTACAGGAAGATCTAAACAAATTTTTCGAATGGTCGGAAAAATGGTAGATGAAATTCAATGTGGACAAATGTAAAGTACTCAGTATAGGAGATGTAAACAGGGAAACCAGTTACCAGATGAACAACGATGCCATTGTGGAATCCGACTGCGAGAGAGATTTAGGAGTAATGATAAGTAGGAATCTTAAGCCAAGTAAACAATGTGTTTTTGCTCATAACAAGGCTAATAAAGTACTTAGGTTCATACAAAGGAGTGTTAGTTACAAGACTAGCAAGGTCATCTTAAAAATATATCTAGCGCTTGTGAGACCTCTCCTGGATTAAGCAATACAGTTCTGGTCACCGTATTACAGAATGGATATAGAATCATTGGAAATAATCCAGAGGAGAATGACAAGACTAATCCCGGGCATTAGGAACCTTGAATACAGAGACAGGTTAAAGCATCTTAATTTGCACTCCCTCGAGAGACGTAGAGTGAGGGGCGACATGATAGAGGTGTATAAATGGAAAGCAGGGCTAAACAAAGGAGACATTACAAAGGTACTCAAACTATCCAACCAGGAGAGAATTCGTATCAATGATTTGAAATTAGACAAATTTAGATTTCGGCGTGAACTAGGTAAACACTGGTTTGGAAACAGAGTAGTGGATGAATGGAACAAGTTACCAAATATCATCATTAACTCGAATACGCTGGATTGCTTCAAACATAAGTTGGATGCTTATATGAGCAATAGGGGTTGGGTATAAACGGGATTGCCCAGTATGGGTCAATAGGCCAGCTGCAGTTTCCTCCATTTTTATGTTCTTAAGATGAAACAAGGGGACAGGCACAGTCAGGATCATGTCTTCACGGGATATATATATATATATATATATATATATATATATATATATATATATATATATATATATATATATATATATATATATATATATATATATATATATATATATATATATATATATATATATATATATATATATATATATATATATATATATATATATATATATATATATATATATATATATATATATATAATATATATATATAATATATATATACATATACATATAAATATATATATATATATATATATATATATATATATATATATATATATATATATATATATATATATATATATATATATATATATATATATATATATAGTATGTTATCATGTAATCATTATATTTAGTCTGTACTCATGAAGATGTGAATTTAACTTCGTATCAGCATATATCTTCATATGATTTATATATATATATATATATATATATATATATATATATATATATATATATATATATATATATATATATATATATATATATATATATATTTATATTTATATATTTATATATATATATTTATATATATATATATATATATATATATATATATATATATATATATATATATATATATATATATATATATATATATATATATATATATATTTATATTATATATATATATATATATATATATATATATATATATATATATATATATATATATATATATATATATATATATACATATATATATATATATATATGTAATATTCAGAAATTTCAGTGTAATTTCAAACGCCGCGCCATTGGCGATACTGAGTTTTCAAGGTCGTCTGAGGGAAGAGAGCTCTCCCCGCACATAGTGAGAGGTTGTGGAACTAGGCCTATATGAGATTAAATGTAATTTGCCGAATTAATAATGATGCGATTCATGAAGTTAAGGGACTATTATTGAATTTGAAATTATTATAGATCGTTTATCAGTCTGAATAATGTTACAGGTGTCCCAAGGAGTTATTAGTTAGGCGGAAAATATGTCACGTAGGCCTAAGCTAACGCCTTGAGAGGACACGAGGCTGGCTAGCTCTCAGTAACGCGAAAGCATTCGGACCAACAAGATTTCCCTGCGCGTCCGTCACAGAAATAGTCACGTGGCCTAGTCACCTGTGTTGGGTTGTTGCAGTATAACAAGTAAGTCTCATTCGATCTCAGACAGGGTTTAGATAGGGCAGTGATAAAGTTAACAAGAGCTAACAGTGAGTTCATTTCAGGGTTTCCGTCAGAACCCACTTGACTGCGAGAAATTGACTGCGAGAGTGATGACTGAGAGAGATTGACTGCCGTTTGAGACTGCTGTTGATGATTGAGGATTGGCGATTGTCGCCGTTGGAACGATCAGTGTAGGCTTGTCACTGGTTAGGTGAGTAGCAAAGGATCTCTTGAGTGAACGAGTGCTCCCGACAACTAAAACGACACGGGACCAGCATCAGCATTGGGTGATCAGTTCTTATCACGTGGGTGCACAACACCACGTGCACTCGGTCAGCTAGAAGTATTACCTACTGGCCATGGTCACCTGCGGGCGTTCTCTCTTCCCGCCCATGGACGCACTAAGAGTACACTGAGGCTATCTAAGTAATTAACTGGTCACACATTGAGACCAGGAGTCTAGGGGATTCCTAGAGGAACATTTTATCTCCCTTATTACGGGTGTATGTTGAGTTGGGTGGAGCATGGTTCACGGGTATTGGTGGACCCAGTAACATCTCAATAATAATGACAATATTTGTGTGTGTAGTTAATACCATTTTTCAGTTACTGATATTACCTTGACGTGTGTAGTAATAGTTCCTAAATGATTTTGATAGTATTGTTTTTTGAATGTTTGTGTCACTAAGTGGAACCAGAGTGATACTGTGATTTAATTCCTTTTATGCATCTAATTTTTCTTTATAATTCCGATCTCAGGTATAACCTTTGTTCCCCAGAGTAGTGTTTAAGTTAGGTTAGGAGGTGTGTATCTGTTGGGGTGATATAATTTTGTTGAGCGCCCTGAAGGCCTATTCAGGGTGGAGTTAATAAACTCTGATTTTTATACCATTTTCTCAGTGCTGGATATAATTTTGGTGAGTGCCCTTAAGGCCTATTCCTTGTAGAGTTATTAATTTCTTATTTTTTAATACCATTTTCTCAGTGATTGATATTTTGTTGAAAGCACTTAAGGCCTGGTTCATGTGTGCAAGCAACATTTCTTAATACTTTAAACTTATTATCCTCTAATGAGGCATTGCCTGAGTTTCTAATAATTTCAACATCATGTATAACTTTTATTCCCCAGAGTAGTATTTTAAGTTCAGGTTAAGAAGTGCGCATATTGGTGTACCACTATTAGATTGTGTTTGTAGTGTTGGAGGGAATATAAGTGTATAAATTAGACCGTGTGTCTCATTCATCCCAGTCACAGACGTTATCCTTCCACGGGTCATGGATAATTCATTTTGTTTAGTAAATTTAAGTGCTCTTGTGCTGGTTCGGGATTTCTCACTAAGGGGCGTTTCCACTGCAATTACCATCTAATAATCTTTAATAAACCCCAAGTCAAGTGAGAAATTAAAGTCCAGTAATTCCGCCCGGTTACAAATGGTAGCAGAGCGTAGTTATTTTTATTTCGTGACTGATAGTTCTGTGGTTGGGGTAATGGACGTAATCATGGAGTGGATGGAAACGGTAGAGTGTGTGACCCCAGCTCTACTCATGCTCGCCGTGGGAATGGGTTTGTTGTGGTTGACGGTGCGGGGTTACTCGGAGAAAAGAAGAGACAGCCCGGGTTTGGTACAGTTGAGAGAAGAGTTCGTGGAACGTATTGGGAAGCTAGAGGGGAAAATCCGGGGAGAGTACCAGGAACGATTGGAATAGTTAAAAGGGAAGATCAATGGGGAATGTCAGGCATGGGCGAACCAAATCAGGGGGGAGTATGGAGTATATGTACAACAGTTAAGGGGGGAGCACCACACACAATTGCAACAATTAGAGAAGGAACATCAACAACACCTAGCTCAGTTGAGGGATGCACTAGATAGGGTAAAG